CTATGAAGACAGTTACAAATCATATATCTGATAAGATTCTAGTATCCAGAATATATAGATTACTCAAAAACAAAGAACCCAAATAAAATATAAGTGAAGCAATTAAATGGGCATTTTTTTTCCAGTGAAGATACACAGATTATCAACAAGCATGTGATAAGATGTTCAAAGTCATTAACCATTGGGGAAATGCAAATGAAAATGATAAGATACCACTTCACATCCCTTGTGATGATGATGATGATGTGTTGGCAAGGATATGGAAGAATTGGAGCTTAATATATTGTTAATGGTAGTGTATAATGATGCAGCAACTGTGAACAATAATTTTGCGATACTTCAATATGTTAAACATAGAATTGGCCCAGCAATTTAACTCATAGGTATAGAGTCAAGAGAAGCAAGAACAAGTGTTAAAACTATTTAAACAGCATTCATGATAGCCTAACTAGCAAACAACCCAAAAGTGCCTTAGCTTAGTATACAAAATACTGTATGATTCCATTTATGGATCAGCATCTCCCCAAACATCCATACAGTTATGGAAAATGATGAAATACAAATACATGCTACAACAAGGATGAGCCTTTAAAGCATCATTCTACATGAAAGAATCCAAACACAAAATACTGTATGATTCCATTTATTTAAAATATCCAAAACAGGCAAAATCATAGTGGCAGAAAACACATTAGTGTTTGCCAGGGACTGGAGGTAAGGAAAACAGGAAATGACTACTTAATTGGTAGTTTCCTTCTGAGATAATGAAAAGCTTCTGGAACTTGAGAGGACATTATGAATGTACTATATGCCACTGTGTTGTACACTTTAAAATGATGAAATATAAGTTATGTATATTTGCCACAATAAAAATAATGTAACTTAGTTTACATCTAAGGGAAAAAAATCTTTAGGGACATTTAATGACAGAATGGAATTTATTTTTAATTTTAATTTTTTAAATTAAGTTTTTATTTTGAGGTAATTATAGTTGCATAAGCAAGTGTAAGAAATTATACAGAGAGATTCTATGTGCCCTTTACTCTGTTTCTTTCAGTGGTAATATTTTGTAAAACTGTAGTACAAGAACACAATGAAGACATTGACAATGATGCAATCCATGCTGCTGCAAAGTAAGTCAGGGGGCAAAAGGGAAACATCAGATGGCTTCACTTACATGTGGAATATAGAGAAACCAAAGAAAAGGTCAGGAAAAAGACTAAACTTGCAAGCTGACCGTAGATCTGAGGCATATAGCAGGGGAGGGGGAGGGAGAGTGGTCAGAATGGGAGGGAAGAGCACAAGGGACTGTGGTGATGGATGATGGTTGCTATAGTGGTGGGAGAAATACAGGGACTGCACCTGAGGGGAGAAATCAAACACTGTCCAAAAATTAACAATGATGTAAAAAAATAAGTAAATAAATTTAACAATAATTAAAAAAAACAGCTTCATTATGTCATCTTCAAATAGAAAGAGCTTTCTTCCTTTCTCCCCCATCTTTATGCCTGTTATTTCCTTTCATGCCTCTTGCATGGATTAGCACTTTCAACACTATGTCAAATAAGAGTTGTGAGAGAAAGCATCCTTATCTTGTTTATGATCTTAGGGAGAAAACATTTAGTCTTTCCCCATTGAGTGTAATGTTAACTGTAGGTTTTTATAGATGCTCTCCATCAAGTTGGGGGAGTTCCCTTTTATTTCTATTTTTTTGAGGTTTTTCTGAGCATTGGTATTATGGACTGATTTGTGTCCCTCCCAATACCATATCTTGAAGCCCTGGTCCCCAGTGTGACTGCCTTAGGAAAAGGGTCTTGAAGGGGATAAGTGAGGTTAGAGGAAGTCATAAGGGTGGGATCCTAATCTGATCCTAATCTGTTCCTCTGATAGGCAGGGGAAGAAACATCATAGGTCTCTCTGTTTCTCTTTACGTGCATTTAGAGAAGATATCATTCTGAGGACACTTCTGAGAAGGAAGCTGTGTGCTAACCAGGAAGAGAAGTCTCACCAGAGCCCCGCAGTTACCTTGATATAGGAATTGAATTTTTTACCTTTTTATTGTTTATGTTACTAAAGTCAAGCAACACACTTAAGTTCTATTGGAAAATTTGTGTAAAATTTTTCCAGAAGAATCCTCTCTCTATATAACTAAATATAAAATATTTGTACCTGTACCATTGCGTTGAAAAGTAATTCAGAAATTTTTTTGATCAATATTCTCAAGTTCTGAAAAAGTGTAAATTGTATTTGTCTCTTTGAAAGATAATTTTATCAGAAAATCATTTAACTATAAAAACAAAATAATGCTCTAGAATGGTCTCACATACTTGTGCTTTAACCTTCTTGCCTGCTGCTGCACCTGTTGGTGGTTTCCATGTTTCTTACTCAAACTTCTCCAGTGTTGGAGTATTAAAACAAGAACAGCTCTCCTGGTCTAAATTCCATGACTAGATGCTAGCTCAGGTGAGGAGCTTCCTTATGGCAAACAAAACTCTTATAGTCAACATTGTCTTCAAAATCCACAAGTGGCCCAGCCCTGTTTTTAACACCATAAAAACTACAAAAACAAGACCCACATCAATCAGAATGGTATCCACTTGAAAAGAATACCCTAGTACCACATTGCAGATACAATCACGTTACCCCAGCCCAAGACCTTGCTGTTGGAGATGACTTTGCCTCCTGCTTGAGAAACTGTATCAAGACACTGAGATTGCTGGACCAGCAACATTCATTGGCTGCCAAATTGAAATCAGGATTTTTTTTTGCTCTTTTTCTTTTAATATTAGGAATTCCATTATGTTCCCTGCATTTGCTGCTTGTCTAGTCAATAATCCTGGTATATTCTTCACTCTCTGCTAAAACATACATCCCTATACTCCTATATCTAAAGGGAACTATGGTAGAGGGTACTACCATCTGTGCTAGTCTAAACATCAATGCAAGTTATTCTTTCTCCAGGGTATAATAGTCTCATAAATTCTACTCCTAATTCTCACTTCCATTTTGCCACCACAACTTCCCACCCTGCATCTCTGACCATGACCACAACTACCCCTTCTGAGTTACAAATGCCAGCAACATTTACATACATCTTACTGAACAATTTCCTCATATCCTCCAACAATGTAGCTGCTAGACCCACCACCTTAACCAAGAAATGCACCAAGGTATTATTGTCATAAAAAATATAACTTGTATTTTTAACCTACTTTATAACACAACCAGATATTGTTAGAGATTCTGGAAATCCCATTCTTCTTCTTGGCTAATGCCATATAACACGGGACTTGAGTATGGACTCACCTATAAGTACTCCTTGTACTTCTGCTTGATTTCTTCTATTTTGCTCTCATAATAAAACATTTTCTATGCTTAGGGTGACTTATGCACTAACTAGTAAAAGTCTTTTGTACCATTTGGACCACACAAATACCAAAAGAATAGAGTTCAAAATGGATGTAAAGGTCAATGAGTCAATTTTAAGATAGTTCTTAATCTTTTTAAATTGTTGTCTAGATCCAGTTTTAAGGGCCTTATTAGAGGATGGTCAGTTCCCTTTCTTGAGCAGTTGATTAAGTTCACACTCTGACTGTACAAATGGAATTATGCAGGCACTCATACTTCTGATCATTGCGCACCAACCCACATGGTCCCAGGATCAAGTACCAGACAAACAGAAACATCCTCATAGAGAACTGTGCATAGGAACCTTGGAAATTATTCAAATTAACCAATCAACAGGGATCCCTTGAAACATTACTGCATCCCTCTTGCCATATACAAACTATCCCTTACAGTTGTACTTGGTGTTACCCATTCCTCTCAGTGTGCACAAATCTTGTGTGGCCCTATATGTCAGTCTTCTCTGTTTTGGAACACTGCCTTTCATCTACTCAAGTATCTGTGTGTTATGTCCTGCCATCAAAAGAATCTTCAATTCTTCAATGAGGAAGATCTGTTCCTTTCTTCTCACCTAGCTCCTGGTGGTTTGTTACAAATTTTGGTGTTCATTTCCGTATTGATTTGTCTGATCTTCATCATTATATGCTATTCTCCTGTCATCCATGCCTGTGTCCAATTTTTCTCTTTTTATAAGGACATCAGTCATATTGGATTAGAGCCTGACCTATTCCAGTATGGCCTCATCTTAACTAATTACATCTTCAGTGACCATATTTCCAAATAAGGTGATAGTCATAAGCACTGGGTAACTTCAACATAAGACTATTGAGGACACACAGTTCAACCCATAACATGTAGCTTTATTAAAATCACATATATCCTATGATCTATCAACTTCGTTCCTAGTTATGTACCCAAGAAAATGAATTAATATGTAGACAAAAATATGCACAAAACAAAAATATTTATAAAATATGTATTTTATTGAATTAGAACAATCAACTACACAGAGGAATTGACAAATATTATGGAATATTAATGCAAACAATACAGCACACTATTAAAAATAAACTGTGTAAAGAATTTGATTTACGTGGAGTTGCAACACTGGCAAGTGGTGATCAAGTCAGAGTGGTGTTTATCTCTCACGAAGAGAAGTTGACAGAGAAGGAGCATGAGGTAACTGCTTAAGTAATGAAGATGATCTTACCTTGGTTTTGGAGGTGATTATCTTATGGACTGAAGCTGTACACTGAAGATTTCTTCCGCTTCCCAAAAGGCTATTTCTTAAATGAATTGCCCTACAATTTCTCCTGTCTCTCCAGTGCTATCGGAGAACCAGTGAATTATAAACATTGGCTTTTCAGCTTAATCACTCAGTGAAACTTGCTGACATTTCCTGTCCGTGGCCAATTAGCCAAAAATATATAGAGGAAGAAAAGGCAAAATGGTAAGGGGAAAAATGACAAATGCTCCTGTTGAGCTGGGAGTAAACAAAGGCAAATAAAAGAGAGAGATTCTCTGAGACTATCTATTTATTCACAGTGAATTGGTGTTAAAGTAGAAACTCATTCCAAATGCTTATGCTGCGGAGGATGTCCACTCTGAAGTTACTGATATCCTTCATTATCGTGGTGTCTGGTAAGTCTAATGCTGAGATATTTTCGGCCAAAAATGAAGCTATTTTCAATAGTGATAAGGAATCTCTTGATCCATTCATAATATGTTTTATTGTTTGTCCAGTAGCAGTGATGAATTTGTGCATTATCCTGCAAACCTGATTAACCTTACTTGTTGTCCTGTAGAGTCCAGAGTAATACTGGAGGCACTGGAATGGAGTGAACTAAAATTCTGTGGCTAGACAAAAAGTCTTTTTTTTTTGTTTTGGTTTATATTTTGTTGTCTCATTTGCATTCTTTTTTTCTTTGAACTTTAATGTTGATTGAAGTGGAATTTTTTTGTCCTTTGACATTTCAATTATTTCTAGCATTGAGACTAAGAAACTAACCTCAAATTTCTATTTGGTTTTTAAATTTTAAAATAGAGGCTAGAAATTTATGGGCGTAATTTGCTTTAGGAAATGAGGATAAGAGAATGTAAGAATGTTTAAGTGATAAATAATTATTCTAAGTCAATTATTTCACTCCCAAGAGTGCTCTTTATAGAAATGGAATCTAAGAAGCTAAAACAGGTAGAGCATATGAGCAGAGTGGCTGTGTTTAGAGCAGGTTAGGCAGTCAGAAATAAACCTTTGAATCTTTCTGCCTTTTCTTGTAGTGATCCCCAAAATGTTCAATAATATTCTGAGAAATACCAGCTTCCACATTACATCTAACTAAGAGAGAAGAGAACTGGTTCATATGAAAAAAGGGGAAATCCAGGCCTAGGAAAATAGGAAAGACATTGGAGAGGTAGGAACATTTAAGATGAACTCAAGAAAAGCGGAGAGCAAATTTTAATTCCTGAGAAGGGTTTGAGAAATATTTAAATTTGGTAGGTTTCTGGCGGGAAACAGATGGTAACAGAAAGGTGTAACTGTTAACGTAATTGACTCTTCATTGATTAGAGTAAAAGAACCATGAGATTGGGCCATCCCGTGGCACAGCTGTTGAGCACCATGCTGCCAGGCTGTCCGCAGCCTCTGCAGCGACTTCGACTCCCCACCGGCTGGGGAGAACCCCACATGGCGCAGCAGACCTCTCCTGCCTCACCCGCTGCTACCCTCAGCAGTGTCTGCCTGTTCTGCTCCCCGCTCTGGCTCTGGTGCATTCTCTCACCCCCCCCCACCCCCGCCACGCTTCTGACCTACCCCAGTTCTTGTATAAAATAAATAAATAAATCTTTAAAAAAAAGAACCATGAGATTGCTGAAAGTATTTGAAAAAGTTAAAACATCGGGTGATTATAAAAACTTTAAAAAATATATTTTAATAATTCATTTTAGAGAAATTTTATGTTCCCAGGAAATTGAGAGGAAGGTGGAATGATAACCCACGTAGCTCTGACCCTGCCCATGCCCATTATCAACATCTCCCACCAGTGTTATATTTGTTGAAGTTGATGAACCTGTATCAATACATAATTATCACTCAAAGTCCATAGTTACAGAAACTTCACTCTTTCTGTAATAAAATCTATGCATTTGAAAAAAATCCATAAAAGCATGTACTCATCATTATTGCATCATACAAAATAGTGTTACTGCTTTAAAAATTTTTCCTCCTCTCTAAACCCTGGAAACCATAGATTGTATAGGGTCTCTATAGTTTTGTCTTTTTCAGAATGTCATATAGTTGGAATCATACAGTATATAGTCTTTTCAGATTGACTTCTTTCAGTTAGTAGTATGTATATAAATATCTTCTATGTCTTTCATAACTACACAGCTCTTTTCATTTTAATGCTGAAAAATAAATTCACTTACCTACTGAAAGGCATCTTGGTTGCTTCTGAGTGTTGGTAATTATGAATTAAGGTGCTATCAATTAGATTCCTATTTAGGTTTTTGTGTAGACATATACTTTCAATTCCACTGGCTAATTATCAAGGGATGTTTTTGCTGGGTCATACTGGTAAGAGTTTAGTTTTGTAAGAAATCATCAAATTCTCTCCAAAATTTGCTGTACATCATACATTTTTTTCAGCAATCAATGAAAATTTGTGTTGCTTCACAAATATTCTTCCCTGCATTTGGTTTATCAGTGTTTTGAATTTTAGCCATTCTATTAGGTATATAGTGGTATCTCATTGTATTATTTTGCATTTCCCAGATGACATATCATGTGAAGTGTTTTTTCGTATGTATACTTGCCATCTTTATATCTTCTTTGGTGAGTTGTCTGTAAATGTCTTTGGCCCATTTTTAAATCAGATTGATTTTCACTGGGTTTCAAGTGGTCTTTGTATATTTTGGAAAATAATACATCAATATTATGTATTTTACGTATATATGCACACACATATATATATCCTTTATAAGATATATCTTCTGCCAACATGTGACTTGTCTTTTTGTCTATTGACAGTGTCTTAACAGAATAGAAATTTTTAATTTTAATGAAGTTCAGCTTGTCAATTCTTTTTTCCATGGATTGTGCCTTTGGTGTTACATCTAAAAAAATCATTGCTATAGCCAATTGATTTAGACTTTTCCCTATGTTATCTGCTAAGACTTTTATAGTTTTGCTTTTTATATTTAGTTTTATGATCCATTTAGAATTAATTTTTGTGAAGAACATAAGGCCTGTATTTAGATTCTTCCTTTTTTTTTTTTTTTTTTTTTGCATGTGGATTTGTGATTCATGGTTGTTCTAACACCACTGTTGTATTAACTAGGCTCCACATTATACAAAGTTTGACTATATTTATATGGGTTCATTTCTGGGCTATATGTTCTGTTTTGCTGATCTATTTGTCTTTTTTTTTTTACCAATACCACATTTTTTTTAAATTTTATTTTTATAGTCCCCATACAATTGCAACCCCTTATTTTGACCCCAATCCCTCCATTCCCCGCCCTCCCCCCATAGTGTGTCTCTGGTTCATAGTTGTTTGTTGATTTTGATTTTTTCTTTCTTATAGTTATTCTTTTTCCCTGTCCCTTATTTAGGTTTTCTAGATTCCTACTATGAGTAAGACCATCCAGTATTTTTCTTTTTCTTTCTGGCTTATTTCACTGAGCATGATCCCTTCCAGCTCCATCCAATACCACAGTTTTGATTACTGTAGCCTTATAGTAAGTCTTGAAGTTGGTATCAGTATTCCAATTTTAATATTAAAAGTTGGCTATTTTGGAACTTTTACTTCTCCATAAAAACTTTAAATCAATTTGTCAATAGCTACAAAATAACTTGCTGGGATTTTATTTGGATTGCACTGAATCCATATATAAAGTAGGATGACATCTTGAAAATATATCCCTGTTCCTTGCTGTTATATATAAAAAAAAATTGACTTTTTAATAGTAATTTTATGTCTTGCAATCTTGCTATAATTACTTATTGGTTCTGTTTTTATTGGGGGAGGGGAATTCTTTTAGGATTTGTATACAGTTGATCATGTCATGGGCAAACAATGGCATTTTTATTATGTCTCCCAAATCTTTATAACTTTTACTTACTTTTCTTGTCTTATTGCATTAGCTAAGATTTACCTTAGTTTGACTAAATGTTTTTTCTGCATCTATTAATGTGATCATATGATTTTTCTTCTACAGTCTATTGATGTGATTAATTTTCAACTGATGAAAAAGTCTTGCATACTTGGAATAAATCTATGTATAATTATGTATATATGTATAATCATTAATCATTATGTATAATTCCATATAATTTTTGATCATTATCTGCCACAGACCAGCTCAGCGGTGGCGGGAGATCGAGACAGTCTCAGGGTTGAGTGAGAACGAGCAAAAGGTGGTCGAAGGAATTAGGGCGAGGGACAAGAAAGAATGACACACAGACACACTCAAGGGAGAGTGAAAATCTGAGTGCGATTTATTGAAAGCAGTCTTCTCTTTTTATACATTTTTACAGTAATTGCTTCATTATGTTTCGCACAGTATGTGGTTAATCATTTATCAAGGTATACGTGAATGCCGTGACATATAACATTACATTTTGCTTATTATTTTTCAAGAAATCAAGAATAAATCAAGAACATTTCATATTCTACCCTCCTCGATGGAGGTTTGTTCTAGATCTTCTGATTCATTGTTATGATTGTACTTTCTTATCATCATTCTATTTTTATATGTCCTATATTTTACTATTTATCCTCATAATTGTATTTGGCTATATTGTTTACTACAAGTAATAGAACCTGTTTCCCATAATTGCATTCCTTCACTATGAGCCTAGTAACTGGTAATGATTAACAACATGTTTTGGTGGTGCCTCAACAACTCCCAGGCCTGTTTGTTCCAGTTATTTTCCATAGATGAAAAGGTGGGAACCATTAAATCCCCTCGGGGACTGCGCCTGTCTTAGGTTGTCAGAACCTGCTTTCTGATCTTACCCGTCATTGACTGTCCAGTCCAGCACGCAGGGGCAGAGGGCTAATTGTGCCAAAACAGCACAGCCACCCAATATTAATGCGAAATTGTGGCAATTGTAACATTGCTCTCAGGAGCCGCCACAATTATCTATAATTTTTTATACGTTATTGGATTGGATTTGATATTTTGTTCAGAATTTTTATATTTATGTCCGTTGGAGATATTGGTCTGTAGCTTTCTTCTTTTTTTTTTTTTTTTAGTTTCAGTCCAATTTCTCCATATTCTCATTGACATAGTATTTTTATCCTTGATTATAACTATCTGAATGGGAATGAAATTATATCTCACTGTGGTTTTTGTTTATCTTCCCCTAATGGATGTTAATATACTGGGCCTGCCCTTAGGACAAAATTTTTAAGAATAGGACATTACTCAAAGTCTTTCTCTTTTTTCACTTGTTAATTCTGTTCCATTACATGCTCTTGCTTGATTTCTAGTACATTTAGATAGTTGTTATTCATATTTTGTTCAGAGATCACAGCTAGTATTTATAGAAGTGTTTGTTCTTGAGAATTACTCAACCCTACACAAAAACAGAACCCTGGATAATCATTTAAGTCTAAAACATTTGGTTGTTTTGTGGCTGAATTTTAACTGAAATTTCTTTTATTCTTAGGGCTAGGGAAAAGTATCATCTTTGGAAAAATAATTTGTGTATATAGTGATATTTTTAAAAATGTGGCCACTGAATTCAATAAGGCAGAATCAGAAAAGTTTTATTACATTTCATTCTCTTTTATGGTTTAAATTTTACATGTTGGGTCTCCCTGGTGGCTCAAGGGGTTAAGACACAACCTATGAAGCTGTCTGCAGCCATTGCAGCATGTGTTTGTTCCCCGGCCTGCCAGGGAGCGACCCACATGGCACAGCAGATCTCTCCTGTCTTGCCTACTGCTCCCCTCAGCAGTGTACTTTGTTCAGTCTGTCTGTTCTTTTCCCCAATCTGTCTCTGGTGAATCCTCTCACCCACCCCCCATGCCTCTGGCCTGTACCCCAGCTCCTGTATGCATAAATAAATAAATCTTTAAAATATTTTTTACATGTTATTTTATTACCATTTGATGCTCCCAAGTGCTTTTTGTATCTTGGAGTAAAGTCAGTGATCCATATTCTGAAGTTCTTCTCCTTTTCTTTCATCCTCTGTATTTGTGTGGAGAATCAATGGGTAAATTGAACTCTGTTATGTTCTCTTAAATTTTTTTGAGAGCATATTTTCCTTTTTATAAAATTAACTCTTTGAAAGCACTTTTACAATTTTCTTTTATAATCTACATTCAATAATTCTAGTCTCCAAATATCTGATTCATTCACCAATTCCTATATTTGAAGTTCAGAGACTTTATTTCTCTTCACGAAGGCAATGAAAAGGGAATTATCTTATTTTATGATTTCTTGTTTTGTGTGTGTGTGTGTGTGTTTTATGAACCTGGGACTCATGATTATGTGGCTTAAGTCAAAGAATGGGCTTGAGTATGGAAAATTGATGAAGGGGCATGAAAACTGACCTGGACATTCACTCACTTTTATCGACTGAATGTTTGTGTGCCCGCCCCCCCGCCCCCACACACACCCCTATGTTAAAACCTGAATTCCTTATGTGATGGAATTTGTAATAGATCCTTGGGTGGAAATTAAGTCATAAATGTAGATGGGATTAGTACACCAATAAGCGGAGACACAAGAGTATTCTCTCTCTCTCTTTCTCTCCCTCCACCCCTCTTTGTGAAGATACACTGAAAAGGCAGTCTGCTACAAGTCAGGAAGTGGGCTCTCACCAGATTGTCTGTTCGTGTCTTAATCTTAGACTTCCCAGGTGCCAGAACTATGATGTCCGTCTCTAAGCTCCCCAGTCTATGGTATTTTTACCATGGCGACAAAACTGACTAATTTATCCTCAACACAGATTAACTCTTGAATTGATTATATCGGGCAAACCATATCTTCTTTGGCTCCCCTTCTAGTTTTCCCCTAAGAATACTACGGTTTCTTTAGCTTTTATGACACATCCTTCAGGTCAAGGTCACTTGGTTGTCATTCTAGTCTTGCTACTGTTTATGGTAATTATATTTACCTAATATTTCACTCTTCAGTGCTGTCATTTTTCCTCTGGTTTTATAGAATTCTATCTTCTTTGTCTTTAGAAAACTCACTTCCATAGCAACTTCTCTCGTTTTGTTTTTTTTTTTAAGATTGTTTGGTTTATTTATTTTTTGTTTGTTTATTTATTTATGCATTCAAGAACTGGTGTGTAGGCCAGAGGTACAGGAGGGTGAGAGGATTCACCAGAGACAGAGTGGGGAGCAGAACAGGCAGATCCACTAAAATACACTGCTGAGGGGAGCAATGGTCAAGACAGTAGGGTTCTGCTGAGCCATGGAAGTTAGCTCCCTGGCAGGAGATCGAACTCCTACTGCAGTAGCTGTGGATAGCTTCATAATGCTGAGACTTAATCCCTTGCGCCACCATAGAGGTTCAACTTCTCTAATTTTCAATCCTGCCCTACAAAAGACAAACTGTCATTTAGTTTCTTTCTTTTGTAAAAAAACTAATTTAAGAATTTTATATATTTTTATATCATTTTTCATTTTTGTACAACCACTTAGTTTCTTAATGATGCTAGGTGTTTTTTTTCCCTACCTACCCTTATTTAGTGTATTTATTATTTCTTTAGGCAAGGAAATGTCTTCAGGAATATCTAGAAAATAAAATTAATTTCTGGCTTCTTTGGATTAAATTCATTCTAGCAAAATTAGATAAAAATGCAAGACCCAACTAATGCTATCTATTAGAAATGCATAAGAAAGAACTATTAGAAACTTTAAATGTAGATACAAATTGTTTAGGTTAGAAATAAAGAGATGGAAAAATATATGCCATGATAATACTTATCAAAAGAAAGATGGAGTTGCTAAATTAATATGAAATAAATTAATTTTTAGACCAAAAGAAGTACCAGAAACAAAGGACATTTCATAATAATGGAGTCAATTCAGTAAGAGTATGTAACCACTTCTAAATATTAATGTACTCAATAACAAATCTTTAAAATATGTTAAGCAAAAGCAATGATAGAACAGCTCAGGTTTGGAGTTGATTGAGGGACTATGAGTCTGTTTTGGTAATTGGAGTTTGTCTTCTGCTTTTTCAACTATAACTCTTCTACTTTTTACAGATCAAGTGAGAATTTAATATACTGACCACCTGCTTTACTTCTAGAGACACCATGATTAACCAGTCAATCCCGTAGATCTCTAATAGTCAGACTATTCTGATTACTGCTCTTTAAAATTACTGCTTTGACTAAACTGCCCATTATAAAACCATACTCATATTGTCTTTAAAGATAAAGTACTATCTATCATTTGGCCCTGTCACCCCAAGATCCAATTATCTTTCTTGTATTTAAGGGTACAATTTCGGTGGCAGCAGTTATTACCATAATTTCTGACCTTACAGAGAAGAGCAACCACAGAGCTCTTAAAGGATGTTGGGGTTTCCCTCACAAACTTGTTTCTCACAGTCGTGGTGAAAGTTCACCCAAGGTAGATGAATGGGGCTTACATGATAAATCCAATCTCTTTAAGCTTCTAGATGTCTTCCCCTAAGGAGATCAAGGCAGTTCTGACATTGATTTTTATTTAGTTCAGATGATCATTATGTCCATGTTTCAGTCCAACAAATTGATGACTGTTCGAACTCTTTCTTAGTCCTTAAGCATTGAATTAAAAATCTCTGCCTTGTAGACCCATATTAATAAAAATAAATTGGTTTAATATCACATTTCTTTCACTATTATGCCACATCACTAATATCTATTTCCTCACATTTTCCAGATTCATAACTTAATAAATTGGAAAGAAATGCACCACCTTGTGGGTCATACTTAGTGTCTCACTTTTGGAATCTTGTTGGGATTTGATTCTAGCTATAGGTCTAGAAGCCAAGAGAAGCAAGGGGAGAAAGTCCTGAGGAGAACAGCAGTGTCTTTCAAAGCATCTACCTTTACAGGGAAGTTATTATATGTTCTTCAAACAAAGCCGGCTTGACCTCTTCAGACAGGAGTAGAAGATGGCTTCTATAGGTAAAGAAGACTCATCAGAATTTGGGAGTGTGATGCAACCCAAATCATTTGGATCTGTCCATATACCCTAATTCCAGTTTTCAGGATCACATTTCTACCTACACTTTAGAGAAGACACTGCAAGTTTAGGAATCCATTGTAATTTGGACACATAAAATTTGCTTTTTCAGAAATATGAGAAATCTCACATTGTTACAGGAGATAAGATTTACTTTCAGCGAAGACAGAAATTTTCTGGTCATTGTCCAGAGCTTAAGCTGGGAATTTGAAGCACTGAACTCATCTTCCCCATCCTACTTTCTCCAATGTAGTTAGGAGAAAGCAAACAGTTTCATTATACTAATGTGTACTAAATTAACAATAAATGATCACCCCAGACTTGATTGGGGGTATTTAATAGTGTTATTTCAACACAATTCCTTGTGTTATTGCAAATAATTGAGTTATGCAAATGTGGAAGGTGATAAGTTTGGAATTTGGGGGTAGACCAGTAGGCTGAAAACTCATGGGTAGGAGATAATGCTGCAGAAATGAGGCAGAATTTCTTTGGGGAAACCTCAGTTTTACTCTTAGATACCTCAACTAATAGGATGAGGCCCTCCAACTTTACTGAGGATAATATCTATTACTTAAAGTTAACTGGTCTTCTCGTCTTATTTTGTTATTCCCGCCTCTTCACAGGAAGGTCAATTTCACTGATTGGAAGTAGAAGTGTAGATGTTAGCTATATCTATAAAGTATCTTCATAGCAACACCTAGCTCACTGGTTTGGTTGAATGGCTGAGTACTACAGTATAGCCAAGCTCAAACATGAAAATAACCATCACAGGAGGATATGTTATTCTCATGTGCACATGAGATATTTACTAAAGTAGATGATAAAATGGGCCATAAAGCAAGTCTTAATAAATTTGAACTCTTCTAAATAATTTTTAAATAATGGCTCTAGTTTATTGAGATCAACAAATGGGTTCATGATTTCCTACCCCCTCATCACTGGCCTTGGGGAATTTGCTTTACTATTTTGTAAATTTAGCTATACATTTGAAATAAGGGTTATTATAGTTCATATTTTAAAGTATTTTTTTTAGGAAGAGAATTTTTGCCAATCTTTTGCATAATAGTTTTAGAAATGGAACTTAATTCCCGGGCCCAGTATTCTGAACTCTCCCACTGATTAAAGGTAGGCATGTTTGGCAAAATATGTGAGATCCTGATTTGTCATAATGACATTGATCAATCACTTATTCATAGTTGTGTAAATCAGTTACCTAGTTATGTTACCACTTCTGTTTTTTTCTCATGTAAATGCTTTGTTAACTTTTGTGTTGTTAATTTAGGAACTAACATTGTTTTGTTATTATCTTATATGAAATCAGGGGATTCTGCTTCATTTTAGTAAACATTTCCTATTTTTCTCCATATTTCTTCTCTGAATATTTTCTGATTGCAGGTAATAATACATCCCTGGTGACAGAAATTAAGAACCAGCAAATGCCACCTATTGACAGTAAAGGGCTTATTTATTTATTAACCAGTTGTTTGGTAGGGTTGGATCATTGGCACAAATATTTATATGCTCATTTGAGCTGTGAAATTCTATTCACAATTGCTTGAAGATTACACAAGGATCTACTTAGCCAGTTTAATTGAATAATAACAGTAACAACAAAACCCTACAGATTTTTTATTATTACTGAGGAATATACTAAGAAAGAATAGAGACCACAAAGGTAAGGAAAACCGAGTCCTCCTCCCCAGTGGTCAACATAGTCTTGTCTTGGAGGCAGAGAAGTATACCAAGAATTATATTACAAGCAGAATAAGATGAGTGCTATAGCAAAATTGATGCAATAGAAAGTCACTTTTGAGATAGCTCTAGGAGGATTTCATAGGGCAAAAATGATGGGGAAAGGAGATTAAAGATTCATTGTAGGCTAAGGTACAAGGTAGAGATGAATGGGATTCAGCCAATGGAAGGAGTCTGAGGTTCAGGAGTTTAATATGCCTGCTGTGAGAGGTGAGCATGGAAAGTCAAATTGTAGTCAAATAGTGGAAGATGGTAGGAAGTGTAATGATGAACTCAAAGGAATTGCTGAACGAAGAGTATAAAATTAGAATTTATAAATAATTCCAGTAACATTTTTGATGGGAAAAAGAGACTAATAGTTTAAATGGTAACAAAAGGAAAGTCACAAATATACAACATGTGGAGAGAAAATAGACATAACCATGAACATGGAGAAAACAAAGAAACATCTGAGAATATATTGCAGAAGTCATTGTTATTAAATAAAAAAAAAATTTTACATAGAAACAAAATTTTCTAAGGGAAAACTAAATTACCAACTTGGCTCAAAAAGAGATAGTAACTGGGCCTCCCTGGTGGCGCAGCGGTTGAGCACTGTTTTGCGAAGCTGCCTGCAGCCTCTGCAGCACCAGTTCGATCCCCGGCTGCTCCCCGGCCACCGGAGGAAGGTCCCACTTGGCGCGCAGACCTCTCCTGCCGCCCACTGCTCCCCTCAGCAGTGTGCTTCGGTCCTTCTGCCTGCTCTGCTCCCTGCTCTGGCTCTGGTGAATTCTCTCACCCTTCCGAGGTTCTGACTGCACCCAGTGCTTGTATAAATAAATAAACAAAATAAAAATAAATCTTTTAAAAAAAAAAGAGATAGTAACTAAGCATGAACAGGTTAATAGTCATAGAAGAAACTGAGAGTTATTGCCAGAGAGTGAAGCTAATTATCTGGTATTGAGAAAGTCAAATTCACCACAATTAAGCATTTGCAACCCAGCTCAAGTTCTCAGAAAATTTTGGTGTCATATGATTTTTAACATAAGTTGTAGACATTCTGAGAGGAAGGGTCACCTTTTCTTCTTTCTGATTTCCCTCTTTTGAAACGGGAAAGGCAATCCTATGCTTGTCCTACTGCTATATATTTTTTTAAAGATTTATTTATTTTTATACAAGAGCTGGGGTACAGGGCAGAGGCAGAGAGGATCCTCTGGTGAGAGGATTCACCAGAGACAGAGCGGGGAGCAGAACAGGCAGACTGACTGAAATACACTGCTGAGGGGGCAGTGGGTGAGACAGGAGAGGTCTGCCACGCCATGTGGGAATGTCCCTGGCTGGCTGGGAATCGAACCCACGCTGCAGAGCCTGTGGACAGCTTCACAGCACTGCACTCAACCCGCTGTGCCACCAGGGAGGCCCCTATTATATTTTAAAAGCACATAACTTGTTTGGTTTTACAGGTCCACAGTTGAGGAATTTTTGTCTCAGGATGAATTCTACCTCTAGTAATTGTCACCTATCAATATATCTAATTTGGATAATATTTAGATAAACTTTGGACTTTAGACTTTACCACTGATTCTGTAATGAGTTAAGACTTTGAGGGATTATAAGCTGTAATTAATGTATTTTGCATGTGAAAAAAACATGGATTTGGATTTGGGGAGGCAGGTGTGGGAGTATTTATATCCTCACAAATTCATAAATCCTCACTTTGGAACATATATATATGTATATATATATGTATCTTTTTATAGGTCACTTATATCTCAATAAAGTGGTTAGTTTTTTTTCTAAATTACTGTCCTTTAATGTGTATAACATTAGAGGCTATTAGTTTGCTAAGATTGCTATAACAAAATACCACAAACTGAGTGGCTTAGGCAACTGAAATTTATTGTCTTATCAAGGCGTTACCATGAACAAATTCCTTCTGAGGGCACCAGGACAGAATTTGTTTAAGACTTTCTTCTATCTTCTGCTATCCCTTTGGTGCTTGTGGTACCATAAATCCAATTTAATATGGTGTCCCCCTGTGTGCATGTCTCTGTCCAAATTTCCCCATTTTGTAAGGACAAAAGTTATATTGGATTAGAGGTCTACTCTAGTGCCCACATTTATCTAATTATATCTGCAATGACCCCACTTCCAAATAAGGTCACATTTTGAGATACTGGAAGTAAGCACTTCAGCATGTGAACTTGTGGGGAGACATAATTCAGTTCATAGCAGGCATTAAACAGCATTAAAGTAATGGTATTATTTATTAGCACACAGCATACACACCATCAGTTTCACTTAAGAATGTCTTTGATGAGTCAATAAAATGATCAATTTTATGAAACTTTAACATTTGACTGCCACATTTTTAATAGTTCATGTGATGAAATTGGAAAGACATTTTCTTGCATGCAAAAGTATGATAATCTTAAGGAAAAGCACTTGATTTCAATTACATTTTTAGATCTGAAATGGGTAAAATATTCATTCAAGAAAGGTTTTTATGTGACTTCAAATAAGACTATTTTGGAGGAATTGACAAATGTTTATTATTCTCCTTTTGTGTGTGTGTCCAGTTTACAGTTTCCTGCCTGTACAAGTGGACACAAAGGTGGTGCTCTCCTGCCCACCTGTCCAGAGCAACCTTATGTGGGTAGTAACATGGAGAATAGCCCTCAGAGACAAGCTTCTCTGCACCATAACCCACAGGACAGATACGAACAAGACTGTGGAAGGAAAGTGTACTGACCAGAGAATAACCTGGGCCTCCAGACCTGACCAGAACCCTGCCCTTCAGATTGATCCACTGTCCATCACTCATGATGGGAATTACACTTGTGAATTAACAACACATGTGGGGAATTTCTACCGTGGATATAGTCTCCAAGTGCTAGGTAAGGAACATCACAAGCTGAGGTATTTCAGGTAGCCAGATATGGGCCTGAGACAAACATCTCTCTAAATTCCATGTCCCCTGTGTTAAAACTGAAGCATTTTTCCTACTTCTCTGCAGTGGCCCCTGATGTGACCCTGTTTCAAACTGAAGCTAGAACTGCAGTCTGCCAGGCAGCTGCAGGGAAGCCAGCAGCGCAGATCTCCTGGACCCCGGAGGGAGACTGTGTCACTGAGAAAAAGCGGTGGGACAATGGCACTGTGACCGTCCAGAGTATGTGCCGCTGGGCAGAAAGGAATGTGTCTGCTGTGTCCTGCTCTGTCTCCCATTTCACTGGCAGCAATAGCCTGTCCATAGAGCTGAGTGAAGGTAAGAGCCTGTTTCCTTTAGAGTAGTGAATGTGATACCCAGACTTGAACTCTGAAGATTATTAATAATTCAGTACAAGTAAGAAACTTGAGCTCCTAATTTGTAGATATTTTCTAAATATTAACTGGGAAATGTATCAGTACGTTAGAGAAATTGCTTATGTTCCTTTAGCAAATGGAAGATTTAATTTAATAATTCCTTTTTTAAAAGATTTATTTTATTTATTTATTCATTCAAGAACTGGGGTGTAGACAAAGGTTTGGGGGGGCAGTGAGATGATTCACCAGATACAGAGTGGGGAGCAGAACAGGCAGATTTACTGAAACACACTGCTGAGGGGAGCAGCAGGTGAGACAGGAGAGTTCTGCTGCTCCATAGGTGGGTTAGCTCCCTGGCTGGGGATAGCTTGAGAGCGCTAGGACTTTAACCCTACATCACCAGGGAGGCCTCTAATATAATAATTTCTTGCCAGTATATTCTTTAAATATCTTTTAATGTGAGAAGCATAAAAATATTATTTTCTCATTTAGTGATCGGTAGACTTTTACCTTGAGATTATTGATATAAAATATTTTTTTAACTTTTTTTAAAGATTTATTTATTTTTATACAAGAATTGGGGTACAGGCCAGAGATGTGGGGGTGAGAGAATTCATCAGAGACAGAGTGGGAAACAGAACAGGCAGACGGATGGAGGTACACTGCTGAGGGGAGCAGTGGGCAAGACAGGAGAGGTCTGTCTCGCCATGTGGGTTTCTCCCTGGCTGGCCGGGAATCAAACTTGTGCTGCGGTGGCTGCAGATTTCTTCATAGGTTTTGATATAAAATATTAATAAATATATATTTACAATACTAAGCAGTAGATAAAAACAATAGTCATTTTCTTCAAGATTTTTTTGTTTCTTAGAGTAGTCAGCATTTCATTATCATCCTTAGTATAAAACATGTTTTCTTTTCTCCTCTTCCTTATCTGCAACCAATCTATCAGTTCATTTACAAAACATTTATTGAATGCTTTTATATGTTAAATTTGGTGATACAAAGATGAAACGACAAGGTCCATGTCTGCATATTGTTCCAGGCAGCATCATCTGATGGTTAGGAGTCTTTGACATGACATGGCTTCTCATTTACCAACAGTGTGAACTTGAACATTTATCTGTTTTATGAGAGTGATGATTCCCCCCTTATAGAAATAATGTATTAATTAAATAGATAATATGCATACTCAGCGCAGTGCCTAATACATAATCGGTAGTTAATACCAATTATTGACTATTATATTAACAAATATTAGTTATTAACAAACATTAGCTATATTAATATATTATCAATTCATTAAGCTGTTACATTAATATATATTATCACACTTATTACAATTACAATTATTATTAATATCATTATATCTGATTAATTATAAATCATAATATCTTCCATATTTATTCATCTTGGTGTGTTTTTGAGTTTTATTGAGATGTAACTTATATACCACACTATTTACCCATTTAAAGTGTCCAATTCAAATGTTTTGGTGTATTCAGAGAGTTGTTCAAGTATCAACACAATCAATTTGAAAACATATCCATTACTTCCAAAAAGAAACCATCTACCCTTAAGCTATCACTTCCAAATCGTACTATCCCCTCTAACTTTAGGTGACCACTAATCTACTTCCTGTCTATAAAAAATGTCCTATTTTAGACATTTCACATAAATGGAACCATATAATATGTGGCATTTGGTGACTGACTTCTTTCATTTTGCATGTTTTCAAGGTTCATCATGTTGTAGCATGTATCAGAATTTTCCATTATCAATCTTTATTAAGACCAGGCTATTCTTTTATACTTCATGTGTCTATACCTATGCATTTATCTCCAGCCTCACCTGACATTCCTTTCTGTAAAGCAAACATTCAGTTTATACTCTAAGCTCTTTTCCCCCTTATATGTCCTCAGAGGCCTTGCTTCATTTATTATTCTTGCTCTCTTTTGTTTATCTTTTCTGTTATTCAAATCCTTTCCCTAAGACTGATATATAAATATGCCTGTATTCTTCCTATGTTTAAAACTGGATTATGTGACTTCCTCATTCTCTTAGCTCTTGCCTTTTACTCATATCTAAGATTTACAAGAAATGCCTATATTCACTGTCTCTTCTATGTCACCTCACACCCACGTTTTAACTCATTCACATTCTCTGCATGGGAAATGCTCTGACAAAATACACTAAAGATCTCCTGGATGCCAAATAAAATGTAATATTTTCATTCCTTTTTATAAATTAGCTTCTCTGGAATAGTTGATATGGTTTCTCTTCCCTTCTCATTTGTTTTCCTCCCATTTTCATTAGGTTCTCTTCTCTAGTTAACTTTCTTTTTTCTTTTTTTCTTTTTTTTTTTTTTGTGAGATGCTCCACTGTGTTTCTTTAGCATGCATCTATCACCTGCAAGTTGCCAGGAGAAAAGCAGCATATTTATTTGAAACATATTCTATGAAAAAATAAAGTTTTATTAATGATGTGGAAGTCAATAAAACAATGTCAAAAGCAGGTGATATGACGTAAAACTAACTTTTAGGGTGGAAAGAGGTGCAGTTTGTGTTACTCTTTTTTTTTTCCTATATATCTCTCTAGTTAACTTTCAATCAACTTTTCAGTTTTCTTAGATTCCTTTTCATCTATTCATCTCATGAGGCAGGGCACTTCTGTGGGATCCATCATTGGTCCTCTTCTGACCTTTATTCCTAATCCCTGAACAATCTCATCCACCCCCATGACTTCAACCCTCTTAATACTCGACTGTCATTTGTATATTTTTAGCCTAGATTTCCTTCTGTAATCAAAACCAACTTTCAACTGGACAGATTCACCTGGATGCATCAAGGGCACCTCAATTTTCATATTCCTGAAATGGAATTCTTCTCTTCTGTGTATTTCTGAGCTCCACTCCTATATTTTATATCTTAATAAATGACTCAAGCCAGAAACTTGAAGACTCCCTATAACATCTCTCTTTTTATTCCCCATATTCAAAACCAATCATTATGTTTTGATGATTTTACCTTAAGGGATCATGCTCACTGAAATAAGCCAGAAAGAAAAAGAAAAATATTGGATGGTCTCACTCATAGCAGAAATTTAGAAAACCTAAATAATGGATCAGGAAAAAGACTAATTACAATAAAGTCAAAATCAAAATCAACAGGCAACTATAAACCAGAGACACACTATAGTGGAGGAGAAGGGAGTAGGGTTAAAACAAGGGGTGGGGGGTGGGTATTTTACAGGGACGATAACCAAGATGAAAATGCATGCATTGTACAAGAATGAAAAATAATGGAAAAATATCTATAAAATAAAAATTTTAAAAAAGAAAAAATACATCTTAAATCTGGACCTTTCTTTTATTACCCACAGCATTGGCTGAGCACATATTTTTCTCTCACCAAGATTATTGCAATGTCCTTTTAACAGGTCTTTTTGTTCCTAGATTACCTCCCTTCAATTTATCTCCTAAGCTATTGCCAGAATGACTGTTCTAAAATGAAAAGCATACTAATCCCCTACTTAAAAGCTCTCAGTGACTTCTCTTTGCATTGTCAAAGCCAACCCCCTTTGACACCCTCAGCTTGCTGCTCTCCTTAGCCTCAAACCTGTATGTACCCATGCATATGTGACTCTTTGGGGCTTCTCAAAAGTGTTATGTTCTTTGATTTCTTTGTTCAGTTTCTGCCGCTCCACAATGAACTTCTTACTCCCATACTCTCTCTGCTATTCCATTCAATCAATTCCAATTCAAGTTTTAAAACTTAATTTTGTTCCTCTGGGATAATTTTCCCTTGCCCTGCAATTTGGTTAGCTATTCCACTCTGTGCTCAGGTAACACCCATGTCCGTCTGTCAAAGCATATCCATAGTCCTGAAATTGACTTCCCACTCTGAGACTCCCAGTTTAGTCTAAGTTTCTTGAAAATAGGAATCACATCTTTCCTTTTGTTATCTACAGGGTTTGGCACAGTACCTGACCCAAAAAAATTGTAGAATTAGGCTTAGATTCATCAGACTTCATCTCTATATTCTCACTCTACACTTCCAATATGACTTAAGTTAACTCAGCTTCAGATTTTTCTTAATCTATTTACTCCTGTTGCTCAGCAAAGTTCAGTTCAAATCCCATGTCACCTTGATCTCCAGTTAGAGTTGATTAGATTTATAATTTGTGATGCTTGCTTAGGGATGTTTGCTCTTTAGTAAGTCATCTCTTGATTTGTATAAATCTAACTGTTCCAATTAGATTGTGACTTTCTGAGAGCTATGACCATTTCTTCTTCTCTTCCAGGGCCTAAAGGTTGCCTGACATTCTTCTAGTTTAGTATATGAGCAGGTTATTTAATGATGGCACAACTCTGTGGTTTTAAGAGTCAGACTTGTACTTAGAATTCATATTCTTCTAGCTATCATTTCCATAAAAGACTTCAGAATGATTGTCTTAATTAGTCTCATTTTATCATTTTTTAAAAGATTTATTTTGATTTATTTATGCATATAAGAACTGGGGTACAGGCCAGAGGTACAGGGGTGACAAGATTTACCAGAGACAGAGTGGGGAACAGAACGGGTAGACCTACCAAAATACACTGCTGAAGGGAGCAGTGGGCAAGACCAGAGAGGTCTGCTGTGCCATGTGAGTCAGCTCCTTGTTTGGGGATCGAACTCCTGCCTCAGTGGCTGGTGATAGCTTGATAGCACTGAGACTTTAACCCCTGTGCCACCAGGGAGGCCCCAGTTTCATTTTATCTTTTAAACAATTCTCTTGAATAAAGGAATATAGGAAGACATAAAATGCCTTATTGAGGGGATTATAGGATAAAATCACTTCACTGTTTGAAAGTATTATCAGATAGTGCCCAAATATGAGAAGTCCTGCCCCCAAAGAGTATTGTTTACACAGAAAGTTAGAAAGTACAATTCCTGGGCCTCCCTGGTGGTGCAAAGGGTTAAGACACAACCTATGGAGCTGTCCACAGCCACTACAGCAAAGTTCAATCCCCGGCCAGGGAGCTACCCACATGGTGCAGCAGGCCTCTGCTGTCTTGCCTGCTGCTCCCCTCAGCAGTGCATTTCAGTCAATCTGCCTGTTCTGTTCCCCTCTGTCTCTGGTGAATCCTCTCACCGCCCCCTCCAACTCTGGCCTGTACCCCAGTTCCAAATGCATAAATAAATAAATCTTTAAAAAAAAAAGAAAGTACGATTCCTTTTTTCTTCTTATAAAATTAAGAGGTATTAGCAGTGCTTACTATATCTTTAACATTCACTTATCAAAAAACTAGCATGCAAAAAACACAGACATGGTTCCTAGACCATCATAAAAGAATAATATAGTAGCACTAGAAGTGTAATCTAGATGGTATTTTAATTATCATAGTCTGAACTTTTAGGACTATTTTAAAAGGCTCTTTCAAACTACTGACTTTTAGTTGTTTGTTAGAAGAACCGTTTCAAAGATTCTTCCACTCTGCCTGTCTTCTGTGTTTGAAGGTCTCAGAACCACAGGAAATGTAGTGAGATTCCTACTGATATTTCTCTGCATAAAATTCTGTCTTTTTTTGGTCATCCTGGTCATCGTGGGATCCGTCTCCTTCCAGAGGATCGTTGGTTGCAGGTAGGAAATGAAGAGTGAAAAATATAGTTTCATTAGGAAGAAACATCATCATGTGACTGAGTTCTCAATGTCTTGGGAAAAGCTTGACACACTGTTGTCAGGTTGTGTTTGTTCCCGCATCCTTGTCTTCCCCATAGAAACCTTGTTGGCAGCTGAGAGCCCAGTTCTGTACTTCTGCTTCTTGGTAGCTTCTTCCTAAGAGAGACCCTGTCCTAGACAAAACTTTGAGAAATACGTGAGGGAAATGAAGATGGAGTTTAAGTGTTTACTTCCCAGTTTTTCTGCTTCTGAGGTCTTGTACTCATTCCTAATTGCATATTTTGTGTTTTTTTCCTAGAGCATGAAAATAAAAAAAGTCTGAAAGACAACTTAGATTTGATGAGATATCACAAAAAAGCAGCCAGTCTTCAAAATCAGTCTTCAAGTTCAACATCTAGCTCAACTGCTCTTGTTGCTCTTTGATAACTTTTTGTTTATGAGAATCAATGTGATAGTTGGAAAGGTCTGTTTCATATTCTTAGCATACATACTTACATATACACATGCAGAAGCTTGCTGTCTGTCATCATAAATGCTTAGAATGACTCAGTTCTTATTTGCAAATAAGAAATAACCCCACTTCTCACCCTAAAGAGGAAGATGACTCAGCAAAAGGCAAATAACAATGCTCTGCCATTTTTCTACATGGAGGGGAGTGTGTCTTTGGATGGTGCCTCCATCTGACTTGTTTCCACTATAATCAATGTTGCAGTGGCAGTAGCCACTATAAACACTGCCTCCAGTCAGTAGGTAGCTGACCTTGCATTTCATACCTGAATAAGTGGCCAGGATTCATTTTTAGCAGTACTTACATTTTTGAAGAAATTAGATGTTGATTCCTAATAAGGAGCTATTATATTCATTGGCAACTGTGCTGCAACTTTTAGAGTGTCAGTGTCTCAATTCTCTTTCTAATCTGCACTCCAAGTTAGAATGGGTTAATGGTAGTAAGAAAAAGAGTTTTGATAAACCCTAACATCTTCTAGAGTCCCTGTATACTGGACCTATCTTCACCTACACTGAGGATGGAAGCTACTCACTGAGGTGGAAAGATGAAAGCATCCTGGATCCAGATGCCTATGGAGTTGCCATTTTGAGCCTAGACTACCTACCTGTACCCTTCTTTGTATGAAAAAATGAACTATTTTGTTTGTGCCACTATTGTTTTGGGGTTTACTCCAGATGCAGCTGAACTTAATCCTGATTGATACAGATACCAGTTTGCTAATCTCAAGGTTAGCTGTCCATCTCACAAAAATAGGCTCTGTTTGATTCATGTGCATTTTCATGGCCCGTTTTCTTTCTTTCTTTTGCAATAATGAAGCAGAGGTAACTTCAGAAGATAGTAATCATAAATATGAAGCCATCTATATGACGGTTGCAGAAGGATTGCTGGGTACATAAGCTCAAGGGATGCTATGGGCTTATGGGGTGTGTAAGATCATTTAATAGTCAGTATCTCGACATATGAGGACATATGTGCATGGATCAGAAAGATATCTGTGTTATGTGCTCTTTGAGAGGTATGTACAGAAGAAGCCGAAGGACTGAAATCAGTGGGGCTCTATTGTGTTTTTCCACTTGAGTGGCGCCATCATTTTTGGAACAGATTTATCTGAATGCATGTTCCTTCTCTGTTCTAGTCCCATTGCTTGATTTTCTGGATGCTGTTACATTGGAAGAGTGCTCTCTCTCTCTCTCTCTCTCTCTCTATATATATATATATATATACACGCAATAAAATTAATTTAGGTTTGAAATTGAGGAAACAACTTTAGGCAAAACATAATTGAGAGCCACTAGATGGTGCTTCAACGTAATTCTTTTAGCATTTTGAAGTAAGTTAAAACCTAATTACCTCAGACAATAATTCTCCATTTTTACTTTAATTTTTCCATACAACTGCCCCTCCACTTATAATTCTTTAGGTCTTCTTTGGTAGTTTTGAAATAATAACAGGAGGATAAAAAAATGGTCTAAATTAAAATTAAGGAGAATTATACTGTCACTTAATTTTAGGAGAAGCACAAGATAGGGGTGGATATTAAGTCTTGCTTCAGAGGAAAAGGAAATGTGAGGCTCTCTCAGTGGTTAAACTGAAGTTAGTACTACTCACTTATTTCATAAACTAGGGAGTTGCAATCACTCAGTCACTAATTAGCAAAGAGTGCTTGTTAGTGTCATGGCAGCAAATTGGTTGAAGCTACAAATAAAATTAGCTGCTTTCTCTGCCCATGGTGGGAATCAGCACCCTGTGTTATTTTTCTCTTTTGGATGGATGTCCAGTTGTACTTCTTGGGCAGCACTTGCTGGTCTATATGTCCATACTGAGGGCTGTAGTTCTGCCTGTCACCATCTTGTCACATGCACCCAGACAGAGCATGCAACTAATGTGGTATCGAAGGACCATAATTTGTATTGTGATGGGCAGAATTAAATCTATGCCAGCAAAGGAGAGTATAACTCTGAATTTCTAGAGGTTAGCATGGCAGTTGGTACAACTGTGGTTTGGATAGAAGAATGGGCATATGATAGAAAAAAAAAAACACAATTAGTTGGAAGCAGCATCTAAAGAGCTAGGTCTCGAGTGATTAAGTAGCTTATGCATATGGCACTCTTAGATATAATATGAATAAATTCAGGCACTCACTCAGATATTTGTTAAATATTTGGTACAATACTAAACTCTAAAAATACATGTCAAGCAAAGTGTGAATCAACAGTAAATGAAATGTGGTCTTTGAAGATTTCATAGTGAGGAAGAGAGAAACACAAGCAGATCATTAAAATCCAGTATTAATGCTATAACAGAGCTATATTCACACTGACATATCAAAGAAAGGAATACTCATTCTGACTGAACATGTACATGGCTTGTAGTTCAGGAAAAGCACTGGATGATTTACGAGGCTTTTAACTGCAAGAAATGGAAAGTAGGGCTCTGGCTTAACTAATAAGGTCATTTATCATCTTACATAAGAAGACATCCAGAAGTAAGGCCAACTTCAGTTTCAATGGCTCTTCAAAGGCTCCTTGAAGGACCTGGGTTGTATCCTCTTCTCTGCTCTGCCATCATCTGTGTTTGTTTCGTCCTCAGGTAGGTAGTGAGACAAAGGTAGGCCCACCAAGCTCACAGTCAGGCACAGCATGGCCAGAGGAGGAGGCTGACCATCTCTTCCCCAAACCCCATCTCGCCAAGGGCCCTTTCATGGCCACTGTCTTGTCTAAATGGCCATGGCCACATGAAAATTCTTTACTGAACCTCTAGCAAAGCGTATGTTGCTTAGACCTCCAGTGCAGCTGGGCTAAAGTCAGTACCTTTCACCAGAGACACAGTGGGAGCAGAGAGAGTGAAGATGTGAGCAAAATTGGGGTCTTGTTAAAAAAGTATATTGGAGGGGGCCTCCCCTGGTGGCGCAGCTGTTGAGCACTGGGCTGTGAAGCTGCCCGCAGCCTCTGCAGAGCTGGTTCGATCCCCAGCCACCGGCAACAGTCCCACATGGCACGACAGACCTCTTCCTGTCTCTCCTGCTGCTCCCCTCAGCAGTGTACTTCTTTGTCAGTCTGCCTGTTCTGTTCCCTGCTCTGGCTCTGGTGAATTCTCTCACCCTCCCACGCTTCTAACTGTACCCAGTGCTTGTATAAATAAATAAATAAATCTTTAAAAAAAAAAAGTAAACTGGAGGACTCATGTAAAGCCAGGGTGAAGGAGATGACAACAGTCAAACTGCATTTTAAAAGACGTGGGAGAATGTTGCATGTGCAGGTGGACCAGGGCAGGGAGAAAGGCATGCTAGAAAAAATACAGATGGGTGAAGGTGGGAAGGGAAGCATTGTGACAGGGTCTGTCTCTTTTGAGGTAATGGAGAAACTGTCCACAGCATCTCCCCACACAAGTCCTTCATCTCATGAAGTCATCTGGGGACAGAAGACTGCTATTGTTTTAAGAATGCCAGAATTTTGAAGATCCAGCAAATCTTGAATTTATAATGTTTTCTGAACAGAATGTCCAAATCCTCTGACTGATTCACCCAGCACAGACTTTAAGATCATATGAGGAGCCAAGAACATTGGTTTATACACAATGGAGAAGCAGAGGTCAGAGAGCTCAGCCTGGAGAGGCTGTGGGTCTGCTGGATGACATCACTGATCTCAGGAGGGTGGTGGCTCAGTTGCTGAGCAGGGTCTAGCTGGCAGACTTGAGACACTTCTCCTTATTCTGGTTTCCTTCATGGAATATAAAAATAATCCTTGCTCTTTGATCAGTTGAAGAGAATGTTTTGAAGGAAGTTGTTCTTGTTATTCACTTCCTGGTTTCTAGCGCACCTTATGCACACAATAATGTGTAGGAAAATCTTGACACTTGCTCTTCCCAGAATCTCCCCTCCCACCTAAGGGGACCCCGTACGTGGATGCCACAGACATATTCCCATTTCCAGTTGTTCCTCTCCATTATATTGCTCCCACATATTGAAGGCTCTTTAGAGGTGCAATAATCACTGAAAGGAAATAAACAATCACCTCCACATCTGCTGAGGGAGGTCAAGGGACTAACCAAGAAAAGCTTGAGAACTTCACAAATAGAGGAAAAAAAATACAGCTCAAAATCAGAAAAAGAAATGCAAAGAAGAAATATTACAACAAGAATCATGACGTTCTGCCCAATGTTCAGACTATTAATGGCAGAGAAATGAAGAGCTTCCTGAATGCTGTGGCTTGTCTTTCAATAACAGTGTGAGCTAGTTGCCTGGGAAAAGAAGGCTGTATACGACCATGACATCATTCATTTACTCTTGCTTCTGAAGAGGATGTAAATGTTTGTGTACAGCACATCTTTTCAGCTTCTCTTTTATGCTACCTTGGTGATAAAAACAGAGTAAGAGACCTACTGATAAGGATGGTTTGTGGCTGACACAAGAGTTTTATGACGTTTCTCAGGGGCATCTGGTCTGCAGATTCCCAGGGTTCTCTGAGGGCCATCAGACTGGAAAGAGCACATGTCTCATCCTTTTTCGGAGTCTTGTGCACAGGTCATGCTATTGGAAAGACTAATTTTGTTTGTTGCTGCTGGCCTTTGGAATAGATACATCACTTCTGTAAACCCCAGTGATGCTCTGGGGAAGATGGGAGCCACTCCAGCTTGTGTATTTGTGTCTGACTGACAGCTCACAACTTGCTCACTAGTCTTGCACTCCAGTTTAAGCCTTCTGGCTGGATACTACTATCTGTGACATAAACACCTTGAAAAACACTGTCCCGTTGACTTTCTTATATTCTGTGTAATGGAAAATCACAACATTATACCACATCACTTACAAGACATCGAAAACCAAGGCACAGTCCAAGATGTCACTTCAGGGAACTACAGAACTACATCAAATGTCTTTGGACTAGAAAGGGATTAAACAAATAGCATTGCAGCA